CATGGACCAGTACCGGTCTGCGGCATGCCAGCAACCGGTCTTTACAAACAAGCAAAGCTCCATTCGCAGGATGCAGGCAGCACACAAAACCACGCCCCTTCTGGTCCACAGAAAAACCTCTCTCCACGTAACCGGACCCTGGTGCCCAAAAGGTTGGGGATCTCTGTACTATCTCATGAATTTACAGTTGGCAATCATGGCTGAAATGAGAAACCAAAGATTAAGAGGAATCCGGACAAAAAGGATGGTAAATCCGTCCGAGCCTGCTTTGAAATCTTGGTTTCTTAGGAGATGACTCAAGAATGTGTGGGGTAGCTAATGCTCTAGAAGACAGAGAGAACATTCAAAATGTTCTTTGAACATTTGAGGAAGTGGGCTGGAAAATAATAGAAGAAAACAAGATTTTTTTAAGCTGCGCCAACAAAAGAAGAGTTTTCAAACCGTAGGGAAGAATAGATAATAGATTACTCAGTCCTTAGTTCAAGTGTTCAATTAGAAGGATCATATACAAGGATAAGCGGTCATTTACCTATCAAGGTCTGCTTTTTTTTAATCAACCCAGGGAGGGCCACAGAATAAATATCTAAATTACTGGACAGCAGAGTCCAGCTGGAATTTGCTGCATGTATTCAGGCTGAGGTTGGCTAGCCAACTGAAGCTTCAATCTTAATTCCTGTAAAGAAGATCCCCAACCCCATGAGCTGCAACACACTACCGGGCTGCAGCCTGTTTGAAACTGGGCCGTGGGAGAGATGGGCAAGCACGCGCATGTAAAGGTCCACTCATGCATGTGTGAAGCTCCACTTGCATGAGCAGGAGGGCGCTTGCACTCGCCACAAAGCTCCATTTGTGTGAATGCAGCTTTGCGCATGAGTGTCCTCTGCTCACACAAGCGGAGCTTCACACACAAGCAAAAGCACCCTCTGTTCACGCACGAAGCTCCATTCACGTGAGAGGAGGGCTCATGCGCCTGCCGCTCACACAAATGCAGCTGTGCACACACGCATATACTTGCCACTTACACACACACAGCCCTGTGCTAGGCTGAGCCGGGCTGCCAAGCTGGAAAGATTGGGGATCACTGGTGTAAAGAACAAGATGGTGGACATTACGCCCCTTAATGGCCACTGCCCATTCTAGAATCCAAACCATGGGTCTCAGTTTGAAGGCCATAAGACATGGCTATTTAACAAATAATGATGTTTCTATCATTGTAGGTGAAGAAAAAGCAGGCAAGATCCATTGAGGTGAACAGGACAATTCCCCTCTGATGTAGGCTTTTTAAAGGGGCGGGGGGCCCAACTCCATTTGGCCTTTGCTTTTTGTCTTTTTTTTTTCCAGGGGAAAGGAGGGGAAGGGGAAGGGGAAGGGGAAGGGGAAGGGGAAGAAGAAGAAGAAGAAGAAGAAGAAGAAGAAGAAGAAGAAGAAGAAGAAGAAGAAAGAAGAAGAAGAAGAAGAAGAAGAAGAAGAAGAAGAAGAAGAAAGAAGAAGAAGAAGAAGAGAAGAAGAAGAAGAAAAGAAAAGAGGGGAAGGGGAAGAAGGAGAAGAGAAGGAAGAAGAAGAAGAAGAAGAAGAAGAAGAAGAAGAAGAAGAAGAAGGAAGAAGAAGAAGAAGGAAGAAAAGGGGGAAGGGGAAGAAGGAGAAAGGAGGAGGAGGAGGAGAAGAAGAAGAAGAAGAAGAAGAAGAAGAAGAAGAAGAAGAAGAAGAAGAAGAAGAAGAAGAAGAAGAAGAAGAAGAAGAAGAAGAAGAAGAAGAAAAGACGAAGAAGAAGAAGAGAAGAAGAAGAAGGGGGAGGAGAGGAGGAAGAAGAAGAAGAAGAAAAGAGGAGGAGGAGGAGAAGAGAGAGAGAGAGAGAGAGGAGAAGAATAGAAGAAAGAAGAAGAAGAAGAGAAGAAGAAGAAGAAGAAGAAGAAGAAGAAGAAGAAGAAGAAGAAGAAGAAGAAGAAGAAGAAGAAGAAGGGGGAAGAAGAAGAAGAAGAAGAAGAAGAAGAAGAAGAAGAAGAAGAAGGAAGGAGAAGAAGAAGAAGAAGAGAAGAAGAAGAAGAAGAAGAAGAAGAAGAAGAAGAAGAAGAAGAAGAAGAAGAAGAAGAAGAAGAAGAAGAAGAAGAAGAAGAAGGAAGGAAGAAGAGGAGGAGAAGGAAGAAGAAGAAGAAGAGAAGAAGAAGAGAAGAAGAAGAAGAAGAAGAAGAAGAAGAAGAAGAAGAAGAAGAAGAAGAAGAAGAAGAAGAAGAAGAAGAAGAAGAAGAAGAAGAAGAAGAAGAAGAAGAAGAAGAAGAAGAAAAGAAGAAGAAGAAGAAGAAGAAGAAGAAGAAGAAGAAGAAGAAGAAGAAGAAGAAGAAGAAGAAGGGAAGGGGGAAGGGGGAAGGGGAAGAAGGAGAAGGAGGAGGAGGAGGAGGAGGAGGAGGAGGAGGAGAAGAAGAAGAAGAAGAAGAAGAAGAAGAAGAAGAAGAAGAAGAAGAAGAAGAAGAAGAAGAAGAAGAAGAAGAAGAAGAAGAAGAAGAAGAAGAAGAAGAAGAAGAAGATGATGATGATGATGATTGATGTTTTCTGGGCAAAGTCTTCTAAGATTTCTATATTGCTGAACAAAAATCTCTTGTAGAAGGTTTCCGAGGAGCCAGTACAATTTCTTCTGTACCATATTATCTTCGAGTGATTCTAGAATTGAAGGTTCCAAATAGTAAGGCAGAAGAAATCAAGACTCCAATGGAGGTTTCCATGGATGAAAAAGAGGTTGGGTCAGCAAATGGGGCATTCCCAACAGACAAGGAGCAACACACAGTGAGCTATTTTTTGCAGAGGACAAATCAAGAGGGACAGCTTTCCTATCTTTACACCAAGAGAAGTGAGAAAGCCGGTGGTCTAGATAGGCTTTGGGCTTGGAGAAACACAATGGATGTTGCATGCTTAGAAAAAGAAAGTCTCCATTCCGTGGAGCGATCAAATGGTAGAATGTTAAACTGATAAATGGATCCACCTACTGTAAAGGGAAGAAAGAAGCAATGGAAGGAAACTATTGATAGGTGAAAGCATGCATCTCGAGAATCTATTGATGTGAGCCACATCCTCTTCTGAAAGAGAAAATCAATATCCTCCTGACAAAAATAGAAAACCCATTATTGACCTTAGCCTGCTATCCATCTTTGGCATACTGTATATATTTTTTAAAAAGGGAAGAATCTTTTTATGGGAGGAAAACCAATGTGATGTAACTTTGGAGTTGCCTTAGAAGTAACCAGGTTGGTCCTTTGGGCGGTTAGTCCAGAGCTTAGCATGGAAACCATATGAAACAACCCAAACATTATGGAAGCTCACGTATCTTGAAAAGGAATCATCTGTAAAAGTGGCTATCAGGAGAAATAGAGGTCATAGATTGTCAGGTCTGAAAGACTAGATCCACACTTAAAATTAATCCAATTAAATTAATTAATTTAATTTAATTTAATTAATCCAATTAAACCGATTTATTGCTAAAAATTTACACACAGAAATCTTCTCAGCTAATAGTCCACACCTTCTTGAAGTTAGGTAAGGGTCAATGGAATTCAAGGGGAGTTGAATTTAGTTCACTTGTGACTACATAGGGATTCTAGGTTGATGCCTCTTTTGACTCCACCTCCAGATTCTGCTGCTCCTCCTGCATAGCTGCTGTATGGAGCTTTGGAACTAGCAGTAGAGTAGTACACCTCTACTAAACTTCCTACCATATGAAGGAGGAACGGACAAAGGGGGCAGCCTTGCCTCATCCAGTAAGACCTCTCCAGATTATCTCCAGGTTTTAGCACTGAAACTACAGTCGACCCAGAACCCTGTGGCAGAGCTTCCAAACACAACACAGGTAGTCTTGCATTGACCTATGACCATTTTTCACATTTACAACTATTGCAGCATTTCTACGGTTACACGATCAAACCTCAGAGACTTGGCAACTGGCAACTGGCTCACATTTAGGATGGATGCCCTGTCCTTAAGTCATGTGATCCCTTTTTGCGACCTTCTGACAAGCCAGATTGACTTAACCACCGCATTCCTAACTTAACAACTGCAGTGACTCGCTTAACAACTGTGGCAAGAAAGATCATAAAATGGGGCAAAACTCACTTCACAAATATCTCACTTAGCCACATAAATTTTGGGCTCAGTTATGGTCATGTCGAGGACAGCCTCTGTGGTCATGTGTATGATGTCAACGCTGCTGACATTGGATGTTCTTGCTTTGACAACATATGAAGATACAACCTTTTTCTTTCTTATGCTTTACTCTTAGAATTAGATGATGCTGGGGGAGGAGGAGGAATGTAGTAGGAGTTAGTTAGATATAACAATATTGTACTAGTGCAGTGGTTCTCAACCTTTCTAATGCCGTGACCCCATAATACAGTTCCCCATATTGTGGTGACCCCAAGTGGGTGTGGCCACCAATAAGAGGGAGTAGGACAGCTAGGGAAAAGGGAAAAAATGGCGGACAGCGTGGTTTGGCGGCCCCCGTGAAATGGTCGTTCGACCCCAAATGGGGTCCCGACCCACAGGTTGAGAACCACTGTACTAGTGTGTGAATTCAGAGCTTGAAATAAGAGATGATAAGAAACAGCGGGCTGGAGAACAGGAGGGAAAGCCTGCATTTCAAACTAATTGGAGAATGTGATTTATGACTGTTAATTAGAGGAGGGAATTGTGTTTGATATTATGTGCTCAGGGGAGGGGAATCCAAATTTTGGCTTCAACTATGTTAGTGCCCAAGTTATGCTACTCCAATAAAGATTATTTAAGGTAAACAATGCCTCGAAGTTCTTTGAAGAGTTTCATCTGTCGGAACCATGACATTTTTCATGAACTTCCCTTGTGATCATCGGTGAGAGCACCAAATCCCACGTCTGTTGAGTTCCCTACCAACTCATGGAGAACATCTATTTAGCAGAGGTGAGAAAGTTCACATCTGGTACCATGTCTGAAAGTGAGTCAAAACAACCGCCATTCAAATAAAAGATGTTTTCAGTGCTTACTTTCGAAGAACAGCGATTTCATTCTCTATGCTGCTTTCCTTCCCTTTCAGGGCCTTCTTTGGGATGCATTTCACTGCAAACAGTTTTCCACTGCTCCTGTTTTCGGCCAGGACAACTTCAGAAAATGCGCCACTGCAAAAAGAAAAAAAAAAAAAAAACAAAGCATATACTTCAACTGCTGAAAGCAGAACGTAAGTAACATGATCCTGCTTTCAGTGCCAAATGCAGTTTTGTCCACACGATCCAAAATCTCGGAGTGCTTATTGTACTGATTCTCAAAAAAAATGTCTTGCCCAACACAGAAGAAAGACCCCCTTTGCTGGGTCTTTTTTTGGATTTGATGAAGGCCCAGTTAGAATAACCACAAATTCTCAAGGATTCCTCAGAATTGTTAATTTCTCAGAATTAACTTCTAATTATCCTAACAGGGCCTTCATCAAATTCCCCCCTCCACAAAGACCTAGCAGGAGCTCCTCATAATAGAGAAAGAAGAGAATAACAAACGAAGCAATGTTGTCGTTCCATGCATTGCGGGAATATCTGAAAAGCTGAGGAGGATTTTCAACCGACGCAACATACAATTACATTTTAAACTCAAGACTACACTAAGGCAGAAGCTTGTTTGCCCCAAGGATAAAATGCCCAGACACAAACTGAGCAACGTGGTATATGCACGACAGTGCAGCGGGACATGTGCAGATCTGAACATTGGGGAAACAAAACAACCACTTCACCACAAATGCATGGCACAACATAGGAGAACAAACCCATCAGGACAAGAGTCAGCGGTCCATCTGTACCTGAAAGACAAAAGCCACTCTTTCGAAGACAGAAAAGTCCACATTTTGGACAGAGAGGACCGCTGGTTTGAAAGAGGGGTCAAAGAATTGAATAGCCCTCCCTCAACAGAAGGGGGAGGGGGTTAAAGACACCATCTGTCTACAATGCAACCCTTGCAGCAGTTCCAAGAAGATTCCACAACCAATTGCACCCTGATTCTGGTGACCTTGAGGGCACAGATAAACCCCCAAGTGACTTCAAGAGTTCGCAGAGAGAATATTAACAACCAGATGATTGCAAAGAAATACAATCTTTCCATCCCCTCCCACCATCCTATTAGAACCTATCCTTCCATTCCCCTACCATCAGAACTGATAAAGTTTCTTGGATGAGAAGTAAAAACAGTCTACTACTGGCCTTTTGAAGAAAAAAAGCACCTTTGAGACAACTATGACCTGGATGACTGAGAATCTCCACAGATGTCCAGGAAACCAGCGGTGGCCTCTTCTAAGACATTTACCACTTGCAGCTTGCTTCAATATTTTCTAGTCTGCAGATCTTCCTCTGATATCCCAAGGTCATTCCCTATTAGAAATTCTGTTTATACATAGCACCACAGAGCAAACCAAGGGTACAGTCACCATGTGCTTTACTGCTCAACTGTTTAATTGTAACAGGAAACTCTACTTAGAACAAAAGAGCACAGAGTATATACCATAGATCCAAGCTTGTAAACGCTGCTATCTATTTAGCTGAATACTATTATAGTTGTTGCATAGAAATACATTCCAACAACAAATTCCAGCATTTCCATATACCATTATGATTGGACAGAGAAGGGGAACCTTTGCATAGCAATCCTTTCCAGACTTGGCTGAACAACCTGGTGTGATCTCATGCTAATAAAAACTTCTGAACACATTCCATATTAAGACTTATCTCTGTCTGGGTCAGTCAATCAAGACTTGGAACCCACAGCCCAGACTGAGGGATACATTCCCGGGAAACTATCCTATGCTGTGTTTAAGGTCAACTGACCAGATGTGAGAGTCATTCCAGTCTAAAAGTGATGTAAATATAGAGCAAAGGAGCTCATTCTTAATTTTTGAATTTACGGGCATGCTATTTGACAATGTATCTATCAAACTTTTGTGTGTGTGACACTGCACACAATGCAAAGAGACAACTTACTTTTGCTTGTTCCTCTTCATAGTAGATACAACATCTAGCCACAACAGGGGAGGAGAGGAACAGGCACTCCCATAAGTGACATCACACGTACCATGACATTAAACAAATAATGCAAAAGTACCCCAATTGCGTCAACATATGTTAATGTCCTGGCACGTAGGAAGGACTCACTGGAGAAGAGCCTGATGCTGGGAAAGATGGAGGGCAATAGAAGAAGGGGACGACTGGATGGAGTCACTGAAGCAGTAGGCGTGAGCTTAAATGGACTCCAGAAGATGGCAGAGGACAGGAAGGCCTGGAGGAACATTGTCCATGAGGTCGCGATGGGTCAGACACAACTTCGCAACTAATAACAGCATCAACAATGTAGGACATCATTATGGCTTCTTCTTCTTCTTGTTCAGTTGCTAAATCATGTCCAACTCTTTGCAACTCCATGGACCATAGCACAGAAGGTCTCCCTCTCCTACACTCTCTCTGGAATTTCCTCCAATTCATGTTCATTGCATCCCATGACCCTATCTGACCATCTCCTCCTCTGGCATTCCCTTCTCCTTCGGCCTTCCCTCTTTCCCAACATCAGGGCTTTCTCACGTGGTGGCCAACGTATTTGAGCTTCAACTTCAGTATCTGACCTTCAAAAGGACAGTCAGGGTTGATTTCCTTCAGGATCAACTGATTTCTTTATGGTTTCTGATAGCCATCAAATTCTGAATAGATAAAAAACAGGGGGAAAACCTTTCCTTCTCACACAAGGTTCCCTATCTGGGTCACCTGGAGTACTTCTTTACCTATCAGAGTGTGAGACTCTCAAATAGATACTTTGTGCCAACAGTGGGCTAAACAGCTTCAAAGCATTTCCAAATTTATTTTAGTTGCTTCTGAAAGGGTGAAGAAGCTTTTACACCTCTTCCGCCTCCTGTTTTATCTTTAAATTTTTCACTTCCATTTTTATCAGTATCTCATTAAGGCCAGACAACTTTCTGACATCCCTTTCTTCACCTGATTTGCATCTGTGACATCCTCCGAGGGATTTTCCAGCATGACTAAGCTCTGCCCTTTTGAGATTCACACAGGTCTAGTGACACAACAGGCGTTGGCAATCTGACAAGGGCTGCCTTGAAAGGAAGCGAGTTGTCAAAGAAAGGGTGCGGCTGAATCCAGGGAGGAAACGCACACACAAGCAGGAATTTGGCAAAACAGGGCACACATTGATTTCTCTGTGACTTATCAAACCTGTACACTGTAGCGATAGATAGATAGATAGATAGATAGATAGATAGATAGATAGATAGATAGATAGATAGATAGATAGATAGATAGATAGATAGATTCTATCTAGATAATAGGTAGATATAGATATAAATGATAGATAGGCGGGCAGAAAGGCAGGTAGATAGGTAGACAGGTAGATGGATAGATGGCCATGATAAATATTCATTTGTGTCAAAATACACTGTCTATTCCAGTGGTGGCGAACCTATGGCACGGGTGCCAGAGGTGGTACTCAGAGCCCTCTCTGTGGGCATGCGCACTGTCGCCCCAGTTCTAGGCCTTCAGCTGGGTTTTATAAAACCTTTTCGCTTTAGGCCTCTGCCGCCATGTACAAAAAAAAAGGTTCAATCAATCAGTCAATTTCAACTTCTCATGGGGAAAAAAAAGATCTTGCAAAGTTGGAATTGATTGATTAAACTTTTTAGTCCCACCCAGTCTGCTGTTACCACCGCAGCCACGCCCACCCAATGGGCCACACCCACCCAATGGGCCACACCCACTCGGCACCCGACGAGTCATAAGTGGGTTTTGGGTTGCAGTTTGGGCACTCGGTCTCTAAAAGGTTTCCCATCACTGGTCTATGCCAAATGATGTAAATGACATCATTTTCAGTCAAACCTCTTCTTTGTGGCAGCCCCTGAGATATTGGAACACTGCTATCATGTCCCCCCTCACCCTTCTCTTCGTTAAACTAGACATCTCCAATTCCAGCAACCGTTCCTGATATGTTTTAGCCTCCAGTTTCTTAATCATCTTGTTGCTCTTCTCTGCGCTCTTTCTAGAGTCTCAACATCTTTTTTACATTGTGGTGACCAAAACTGGATGCAGTATTCCAAATGTGGCCTTCCAGGAAAATGTGTACAACATTAATAGTGTTCCAATGGGTAAAATAAGCGATTGTATGGTTTCAGTGAATGGTTTTTCATTATGTTTTCAAAGTAATAGGGGGGGAAAGTGCCTGCAGCTAAAAACTGGATTGCTTTTTGCAGAAATAACAGTGAATTGAATTCATTTACTCCTAGCTTTAGTGTCCTTGGAATAAACGTAGGAAGGAAAAAGAAAAAGAAAGGAGAATCTTTTTTTTTGTTTAAATACATATTAAGTATTTATTACATTAGTATGTATTCAGTATCATTGAATATCAGCCTTGAAGGTAAATGCTGATTTGGAAATGGTGGTGAGACACAAATGTTCAGCTCCCATATGGCGTCAGCCTTACCAGCTACACAAGACAGTAAATAGGACCAGATCAGCTAAATATATTTTACTGTAAAGCTGAATTAACACAATCTTGCAAGTCTGAAAGTACAAACCTCCCACTGTCTCTTTTACAGCCTGAGAAACTAGGGACGGTCCCTTCTGAATCTCTTTCTGTGCCTGTTATGCAGCTGTGGGCTATGCTTCCTTTTATCTGACCCAGTGGTTCTCAACCTGTGGGTCGGGACCCCATTTGGGGTCGAACAACCATTTCACAGGGGTTGCCAAACAACGCAGTCCGCCACTTTTTCCCCTCTTCCTTAGCTGTGCTACTCCCTTTTTTTTCTATTGGCTTTTGAAAGCCAATAGAATAGACTCTCTTGAATAGAGTCTAATTCTATTGGCTTTCAAAAGCCAATAGGAATTGTCCAGGCTGTCTCTGCCCTGCTGAGCCCGCCAAAAGTCCCATTCTGCAAATGATGCTGCACCAGTTGAGTAGTCCTCGACTTATGACCGGTTGAGTAGTCCTCAACTTACGACCGTTTGGGGGTCGCGGCATTAAAAAGGTTGAGAACCACTGATCTGACCATTCAGAATACAGAATATAGAATAAAAGCCTTGGAAGGGACCTTGGAGGTTTTCTAGTCCAACCCCCTCCTCAACTATGAGATACTATGCCATTCTGGACC